TAAGGTCAGGATGAAAAGATACCAAACTAGAAATGTGTCATCATGCCACGGATGCCCCCGCATGCAGCCAAAATTTCAGATGTTATAATATTTAGTTCCAAATTTGTTTGCACAAATTATTTTTTTCATTGTAAGTTCAAAGACCTTAAAACTATTCAATGTTCACACAAACCATTTTTATACAATGTTAAAGGCACTGAAATTATTCAGTAAATTGCATATTGCATATTTGTAGCCAAAATAATGGCCACATACATTTCCACAAAAGTTTGAGCGCTGAAACTGAAAATTCAAAATTTTTCTAACATTCAAGAAGGATAAGTTTGTCCAAAATCATTGAACCATGACCAAATTCAAACTCGAACTGCTTATTCCTAAGATGTATCTATATGTCAAATTTAAGTTGAATGTGTACAACCATTGGGGAGATAATGAACTGAAACTTAAAATTTCTGATTTTTTTTTTTTTCGAAGTTCAAGAAAGATAAGTCTGTCAGCTATCATCAAACCATGACCAAATTCGAAATTGACCAATGCATTCTTATGACATATCCATATCTTTAATTTGAGTTGAATATGTTAGGGAGATAATGAATGGGAACTGAAAATTTCCTTTTTTTCAAAGTAAAAGGGGCATAACTCTGCAAAAAATCATTGAACCATGACAAAATTCAAACTTGACCAGTGCATTTCTTTGACGTATCCATATGTCAAATTTGAGTTGAATGTGTAATACCCTAGAGGAGATAATGAATGGAAACTGAAAATTACATATTATTTTCAAAATGAAAGGGACATAACTCTGCCAAAAATCATCGAACCATGACCAAATTCCAACTTGGCCAGCACATTCCTTTGACATATCCATATGTCAAATTTGAGTTGAATATGTAACACTATTGGGGAGATAATGAACAGAAACTGAAAATTTCATATTATTTTCAAAGTAAAAGGGGCATTACTCTGCAAAAAATCACTGAACTTTGACCAAAATCGAACTTGGCCTGCGCATTCCATTGACGTATCTTTATGTTAAATTTGAGTTGAATGTGTAATACTGTTGGGGAGAATATGAACGGAAACTGAAAATTTCATGTTATTTTCAAAGTAAAAGGGGCATAACTCTGCCAAAAATCATCGAACCAAGACCAAAATCGAACTTGACCTATATTTTCTCATGACATATCCATATGTCAAGTTTGAGTTGAATGTGTTGTACCGTTGGTGAGATAATGAACAGAAACTGAAAATTTCATGTTATTTTCAAAGTAAAAGGGGCATAACTCTGCCAAAAATCATCGAACCATGACCAAAATCGAACTCAAAATCATCGAACCATGACAAGAAACCTTTACCCATATGATCAGGTGGGAACGTATTCCCGTAACATTGCACGTGTGCACATGGAAATGTATTCCTGTACCATTGCATGTGTGCATGTGGAAACATATTCCCGAATCATATACCCTTACCGTATGCTTTGAGCACTCTATATGAGCCTACTAAATAGGTCTTTGGCCTTGATGAATTTTTTTCGGGTGACTTGCCCTTCAGGGCAAGTGACAATCCAAATTGACTATATTGTTATTGTTGCTAAAGAAAAAAACCGAACTGCATGACTGTAATGTATTCTCCAGTTAGTCACAATCGCTTGTAAAACATCAAAGTTTTAATATTTTTAAGGCATTGAGACAGATAAAAAGGCCTATATCGAAGACCAGGCGTCTGTAAAAAGTGGGCGCCAGAAATTTACAGGAATTCCTTTCATTATTCTTGGACAGAAAGTCTTTGATTGTCAATTCAGAAAGAATCGTAAAGAAAAACGACAAAAGATGCAGAAACAGAAGGTAAATGCTCCTAAATGTTTTGCCGCAAGCATGGAGAAATGGAGAAAATTAAATGACTTTCAGAATTACACTGTTCTTGACTGCCTTCAATGAAATTTCATTTTCAGAACCAATTTCTGAAGATGTTGTTATCTACATTTACAAAATGTCTGTCCTGGGAACAGGACTTTCCTGGGATTATGGGACAGTCCTGGAACAGGACTTTCCTGGGATAATGTGACTGTCCTGGGAACAGGACTTTCCTGGGATAATGGGACAGTCCTGGGAACAGTGCTTTCCTGGAATTACAGGACAATCCTGGAAACAAGACTTTCCTGGGACAGCACTGTCATATTGTTCCTGTTCTTTTCCTGTCTTCAAGATAGTTGGAGTCCTTTTTAACAGTGTGAAAAAAGTTTGAGGATTATCCCAGGAAATCCTTAGATGTTTTCAGGACTTTTCATGATTTCCTGGGATAGTCTTCGGATTTCCTGCTCTTTTTTTGAACGGGATGTCCAAACAGCATAACAACAAATAGCATAAAATAGACTTTTTCTTATAAGTCTGGGTAAGTCAAAATTGTTTCAAAGTACTTTCAATACAAATTTACCAGTAAAACCTTATACAATTATATGTTGACAGCCATAAATACAAGAGCACCTGTCTTGTGTTGTAAATGCTCGCTCGTCTGTAAAAGGCAACTAATAACTATTGCCAATTTTTTTTTTATAAAATATCAAAACTTTTAAAGGGAAATAACTTCTAATTGCTTTCAATATAATGTCCCTTGTCTTACAACTGTGCTTTGACATGATAATCAAAGTATTAAAGTTTCAAGCTGCCAGCTTTGATATCTTTTAAATCAACCTACTAATAATAAGCAATTTTAATAAGTTAAAAAGGGGCGAAACTCCAAATATATAGCTCTCAGAATGATGCCCCTTGTCTTACAACAACCTCTTGTCATGATAAGCAAGCATTCCAAGTTTCATCTGGATACCTTTAAACTTGTTTGAGTTATGGGCTACATTACAGTTTTTGCACAACAATGCTGACGCCACAGTGATTACAATAACTTACACTTTTTCTTAGAAAACAGTTGTGCTAAAAAGAATATATTATTTCAGCTATTCTCAGTTTCAGATAAAAAAAACCTCAAATGTAGCTTATGTTATAAAGTTCTTCTTTAAGCATAATATAAGTAGATAAACACATCATGCCAATTTTTGTCACCACAAAAATGACTAAGTCTGCTATTAGTAAATATAATGTTAAGATACCACATCAAAATTACATAGTGACCACAGATCAAAGAATGAGTCTTCAGCTGCATCTTCAGTGCCAATTATCTACTAGAATCTGTTGCTGCCATCAGGCGAAGAGTCAGTTAATTCAAATAAAAAGAAACAAAAATGTAATACATACCTGCTATGTACTATGTAGATAATGTAGTACCTGTAGACTAGTCAATATGAAGTGGGAAAATGCTACTGTTTTTGACAGCTAAAATTGTATAATGCATTAATGGACATTTCCTGATTTGAATTTGCAACATTCCAGTGTTACTTTATGGATTTCTTTACTATAATTCCGATCAAAGAGGCTTCAATGTCTAGTCAATGAATACAGATCTGCAGACTCTCTGGACTATAAACTGAAGGGCATAGTCATAGATAATACATCACATCATCACTGCTGGTATTTGAAAGAGTTACAGTGAAATTCCATTAGTACTTTATCCACTTGTAACAATTCCGACATTCACTGACAGGGAATTTCGGAAAGCATCTAATTTTGTCTTGTGTCAGAAACATTCTCTTACTTGACTTTAATTTAAAGTATTATCACCATAAACAATCAAAGACAACATGGATACTCGTAAAGTTAAAAATTTGATCTTATTTGCAGTACATAAATACAGATTCAACGTTTTTGACTATACTAGTAATATACAGTTCAACCTCTGCTAAGCAACACCCTTTGGGAGGCAAATATTTTGGTTGTTGACGAGAGGTGTTGCTCTAGAGAAGGATTAATTTACTGTGAAGTGGCACTATAAGAACTAGAAATGATTGTGTCCATAGGACACGGATGCCCCCACACGCCTCTGTTCTGTCAATCTTATGACTCTAGGTCAAACATTTTTTGGACTACATGTGCCACAAGTTGAAAACTAAAAATCAACAAAGGGCCATAATTCTGTTAAATTTGGTCGCAGCAAAAATTCCTTCCTTTACTACCATCTACACATTAAGGTTGTTCATCCCTGGAATTTTAAGCAAAATCAGCCATCCGTTTTAAGAGGAGTTGCGTTCACAAAATTTCTACATAGTATATAGTGAAAAAATCAACAAAGGGCCATAATTCTGTTAAATTTGGTTGCAGCAAAAATTCCTTCCTTTACTACCATCTACACATTAAGGTTGTTCATCCCTGGAATTTTAAGCAAAATCTGCCATCCGGTTTAAGAGGAGTTGCGTTCACAAAATTTCTACATAGTATCTAGTGAAAAAATCAACAAAGGGCAATATTCTGTTAAATTTGATCGCAGCGAAAATTCTTTCCTTTGCTACCATCTACACATTAAGGTTGTTCATCCCTGTAAGTTTAGGCAAAATCTGCCATCCGGTTTAAGAGGAGTTGCGTTCACAAGATTTCGGGACGTACGGACGGATGGAAGGACTGACGGACGGACAAGTGCAACGCTATATGCTCCCACATTGTGGGGGCATAAAAATTGAAAATGTTCTAGTAAAGTGGTAGTTGATCTACATAGGGCCACTTTGCAGAGGTTTCTACATAGGGCCACTTTGCAGAGGTTTCACTGTATATACATTTAAATAAATTATGTATAATTTTTTAATGTGTGCATGTTTTGTCCATGTTTATTTATTATTATAATTATAATAAAATATAGTTACTTTTTCATTGCAAAGTATTCCTCTTTAAGGTATTTTCCAACATTCTTGCATAAAAAAATCGTCAAACCAGAAATGTCTTTTTGGATGTGTCAGCCATTAACAGCAAACAACAATTTGTGTAACATTTTAATATAAATTGAAAAGGTATCACATGATACAGAACAAAAATTTGTTCTTATGAATAGAAGATAATGTAATAAATATTCACATTTCATTATGCATTAAATATTTACATTTCATATAATCTCTTAACTTATGTACAGGTGACGTACATCTAACAACAAAAAGATCTTAAAAACTTACCTTTACATCTTGATAAAAACTGTAAAAACATTTCGTCTTTGAACATAGGGCTACATTCACTGAAATACACAAAATTTCATTATGATGATCCATGTTATAATCCTTTTCTAACTTAGGGGAAATAAAAGTCGGGAATTTCTTAGGGACAATTAATTTCCATCATAGTGGGTAATCAAATTGATAGCTTTCATTAGACAAATACACTAAGTCTTATAACTTTTTTAAATGAAAAAGTTTGTTAAAAAAGTTTTATTCTTCAATTTTAAAGGGGAAATGTTTGCCAGGAGGGGAATTTTAGACTTGTTTGTCAGGAAAATGTAGTAATTTGTCTTGAGGAAGTTGTCTGATACCGGTTTAAAAGAGCAAAGAAGGGTAAAAGGCCCTGTCCTTTAATCATGTGCCAGTGGTGGCTCAGACAATTAGACTGAAAATGCCTACCTAGACATCAACGTCACCTCTACAGCATGTTGTAATGGGTCTATAAACAGCTCTAAAGAGACAAGCTCCCCTTGTCTTACACCCTCTGTGCTGTCTGAAATGGCCACAGATGACAGGCCAACACTGCTACATGGCCAGCATGTTCTGATGTGAGTCTTGTTCAGCACACATAAGCCTCCAATGTAAAATCCACACAGCTGCATGGCAGAGGGATTCATCAGAATTAGATCTTTTTTCATCTGAACGGGCAAGTCAATATTTCCTCCTGAAAAGTACAAATCAGGTTGTATAATCATAATCATACATAATTGCAATTTCATTAGACCTGTTAATAGCATACTTTAACTTTGCATTTGTATTTAAATTTAATGGAAAACCTTTTTCAACATCATCTTTATGCTGCCCAATACCAAGGGCATGAATATTTGTGGTTGGTTTACTTATTTTTTTTAACTTGTTACTTGTGTAATAAAATTTATTCCCATAAGTAGAGATAATATAAAATTATCACAATAGTATGCAAGGTAGGCAAAAAGTCAGATAAATCAGCTGGGACATTAGTTCCCATTGGCTCCCATAACTTTATATGTCTTTTATTTTGACGGTGTTAAATAAAAATGCATGTACAGATTTTTTTATCCGACTTGACAATTCATAAGATTTGCCTACTAATTATAATAATAATTTATATTCCAGGATGGTGATAGAATTTTTGGTGACAGATCTATTGAGATAGAACTAGAAACGTGTCCATAGGACACTGGTGCCCCCACACTCCACCGATTTGTCAATCTTATGTCTCTACCGTAGTAGGTCAAATATTTTTTTTGGCTACATGTGCCCAAGTTGAAAACAAAAAAATCTTTTATTAAGTAAAGGGCAAATACTAGAAATACTGAATAAATCCACAAGAAAAACCCAAGGTGCTTAAGTACACTGATGCTGACCAACATTCTTGTAAACTTTCAGGCCTACAGGTCATAAACTTTTTGAGTTACGTGCAACACAAGTTAAATATTGTAAATTTTTACTAAGTCAAGGGCAATAACTAAAAATATCCACACGAAAATACCCAGGTGCACAACTAAACATGCTGAGCAACATTCTTGTCAGGTTTAATGACTCTAGGTCAAATACTTTTTGAGTTACATGCAACACAAGTTGAAAATTGCAAACTTTTACTAAGTCAAGGGCAATAACTCTAAAAATATCCACATGAAAATACTCAGGTGCACAACTTCACATGCTGAGCAACATTCTTGTAAGGTTTCATGACACCATGTCAAATACTTTTTTAGTTACGTACGTCACAAGTTGAAAATTGCAAATTTTTACTAATTCAAGGGCAATAACTCTAAAAATATCCACACGAAAATACCCAGGTGCACAACTTCACATGCTGATCAACATTTCTGTAAGGTTTCATGACTCTAGGTCAATTACTTTTTGAGTTATGTGCGACACAATAAGGGAACGGACGGATGGACAAGGGTAAATCTAGATCCCCCCCCCCCCATAGTGGGGGCACAAAAATCAGAATTGCTCGATACTAATAAATGCTACATAGTACTGCATTATATATGCTGCCGCTGCAGTGCAGTACTGTATGCCATAAATAATTGAAGGAAAAAATTGTCACATTGTGGCTATCTCTGTAAATAAATTCAAAAGCTAAGTGCAAACCTTTGCCTTCAGGTAAAGGGCAGACAACTGCGTTGAAAATATTGTGTAAAACATAACCATGTGAAAATGATTTGTTGCTCAAACATTCATCTTTGTGCTTTGACAGGTCTCTATAACCCAATATTCTACTACAGTGTATGCATTGGTTCCATTCAGGAATGATCTGTTTATTCTTTGGCGGCATTTTTCACACAAAATTATTTAAAAACAAAATTTCTATCCGAATCTCGATCTCAATTTGCCCACCACATGTTTTTATCTCGTCCACATTCTCGCGAGATTCGCAAATTATTTTTCATGTTATCACGTGACTTGAAACGAGATTTTTATTTTCAGAACTGGTACGTTATTTTTCCAGCTGTGGTAAGTAGTCGCCCCTAAAAGAAGTAAACTATAAGAAAAAAATCGAATCTGTTGATCATTTGAAACAGCACACGTTTCTTATCTTTCCCTGTCGTGAACATTTTATGTTTGGTTGTATGATTAGTTAAATAATTCGAATTATGAAGCATAATTTTTACCCCTCCCACTTTTACGCGCTGTATATTCGCACTCGGTCTATTTCGTAACATACTGATAAATAATTATAGTGCTAGTTAATATTATTTTAGTTCAATAAGATTTGACTGAGTGATATACATAATATAATTTATAACATTTTGCATTCATAAAGTAATCTAGTTCTGGCTTTCAAATCTTTATGGTAGCAAGACACTTCACCCCTCAAATTTTGAAGACACTTCACGGTCACCCCTCAAGAAACATCATCCCCCTTAATCAGGTCTAGGATTTCATGATATTTATGGACAGTCTGTAAATTTTTGGAAAATCCTTATTTATACAGATTTTTTTATCAGTAAATAACGGACTTTAAGAAAGAAATTAGTAGAAGTTGCATTAAAATACAAAACTGCAGGTAAATATGAATAAGGTTATGTATTAAATGTAACAGTATGGTAAGATTCAGAACAATTTGATAACTTTGACTTTTAAGGTGATTCCACTTTGTCAGCCATGTTTGTTTTCACAAAGTCTGTCCAAAGTGAAAGTAGGCCAAAATTCATATAACAACAAAGCTCTTATTTTTAAAATGATGAACCATTTGAAAGTACACTTCCAGGTTTATATTTTAAGGACAATTATAAACAAAAATAAAAATGATAACAATAAGAATATTTACCTTGAATGTGCTACATTTCTGAAGACCAAAAACATTCTGTTGCAAAGTTTTATGCACATTTCATGAATGGCAAAATCCTTTTTTAAGTCTGTTTTAGTGCCTACAAAAGCTATTTTTTGCAGCAAATACAAAAATCTTTCAAAACTTAAATCCAAATAAATCCATATCTCATGTCCTTCTAAGCACATGGCCTCCATTATTTTTTGTAAAAAAGTAGTGCAAGAAAACAATCATCATTTATAGCCTTATGAACTACAATTAAAATGAAAACACAATCAAACTTTAAAATCTAACCTTTTTATGTGTAACAGTGAAGTGTGTCTGTTTGTCATGTACACAAGAGATAGATAAATGATGTTTATTTTCATGGTACTACTTTTTTACACATGTCATGGTGGCCATGTTTTTTCAAGGTCAGATAAACTACTTTCCTAAGGGTTATATTTTTTAAAGTTTTATGTATTTTCTGCAAAAAGTAGCTTTTGTAGGCACTAAAACAGACTTTAAAAAGGATTTTGCCATTCATGAAATGTGCATAAAACTTTGCAACAGAATGTTTTTGGTCTTCAGAAATGTAGCACATTCAAGGTAATTTTTCTTATTGTTATCATTTTTATTTTTGTTTAAAATAGTCTTTAAAACATAGAACTGGAAGTGTACTTGCAAATGGCTCATCATATTACAATGTGAGCTTTGTTGTTGTATGAATGTTGGCCTACTTTCACTTTAGACCCACATAGTGAAAACAAACATGGCTGACAAAGCAGAATCACCTTAACAAAAATTTCAAAATCATCAAACAAAGATGAAACTCACCCAATTACATTTGTAAATATTTACAATCAATAAGACAACTTGTCTTATGTTGCGTATACATATTAGTGTACAACTAAAAACAGCAAATTTCACATTGAATATATGTAAGTTTATGGATTGAAAATTTTTTAAATTTCTAGACTATCTGTAAAATTTCAATTACTTTTGTCAGCCATGGAATTTATGAGCAGTGCTAGGCCTGGTATGCCATCAGGGATCACGCTAGACCTAAAATTTAGGGAGAAGTGACTTCTCCCTCAAGTGAAAATAGGGAGAAGTTTTTAGGGACAAGGAGAAGTGCATACGAACTGCATTTTTTTTAAGTGTTGATGTTCCATTTCATACTAAGTTTTAAGATTGATTAACATCATGTTGAGTACATAACAGTTTATTAAGTAACTCATAACAATAAACAGCAAAATTACAAATGTGGCTGTCTTTTTTTTCTTCTATATCATCTTTATTATAGGTTTTGTGTAGCTTGTTTTGATTTTAATGCTGCACCCATGTGATGTGCTGAAATAAAGAAAAAAATTATTTTAGTAAGTCACTAGTAGGCCCCTATACATGATTTTCATCACTATCCCCAGAAATATTCATAGGGAGTGCCAAGTCAAAGTTCATATAAACTTAATAAGTTTTATGTGGATGCTTTTTTATTTTATTTATTTTTTTTTTTTTTTTTTTTAAGAAAAGGTAACATGTGTACAGTTGATATTTTTTTTTTTCGACGGACTTTTTCTGCATAATGCATTAGATCTATCGGTGATACTATTTCAGTATTTGCACCGCCACCGGTCTTTTCCCCATTAACCAGCAAATGACATCAGTGTTTTATTGTTTGTTTACTTGTAAAAGTTCTAAAAAAAGTTCTTTTAAAGAATAATAATCAAGGCATAAATCATCACGAGACCCATTTACCAAATTGCTGAGACAATTGTAATTACACATCGAAACCAACACTTTTGGCGACACGCTTTCGTAAAGTGAAAATGTGTGAATAAGATCACTAAACTTACCAACTAATTAATGTAATAAGTATGCCCCCAATATGTCCTAATTGACATGATTCGCCGCTAATCTGTTTATTTGTTGTTTATTGATAATAAGTCGGCATTTGACAATACCCGAAGATGTCAACCATTCAATTCCAACACTCGCTAAATTGTCTTGCTGCGTTTCATTGGCTTTCCGATTTTACCGACCAATGAAAATGCGTTTAACAAATCGCTTTGAAATAGGAGGAGGGTAGACGATAACTGGGCTGCTTGACACTTCAAAATTTATTGCAAGCGATTTGAAAATTCGGGCGACTTTGTTTTCGCTTTTCTAAGTGATCCGGGAGAAATGGAGAGAGACAAGGCGACTTTGTCGCCCAAGTCGCCTAGAAACGTGATCCCTGGCCATAAAACTAAGGGGTTTACTTAAGAAAGGAAAAAGAGCATTGCGCTACCTCCATAGGACTATACTGGTTTGGGAGATAAACTCGGCCGAAAATCGGTGTTTTTAGTGCATATTTCATTTATTTGTTTATGTTTTCTGATGAATTTTGCCCATTAAAAACTTAAGCTCTTCGATTTTCCGGTATCGCCATAAAATTTATATTTAGAAACATAATGGGAATTTTTGAGAGACCCTGGAAGAGATATATAAAAAGGATATTTTAAACGCGATCGAGTAGATAATTCCTGCTCTTTGTTTTTCTTCTTAAATGAGTAAGTCAAATTGTAAAATAACATGTTTAGACATTTTATTATTTCTTTGCTGTTCATTTAAGTCAAATAAAAAATATTTTTTGCCAGAATTGTTGAGCATAATGTTAGTATAATGAATATCTATGATAACACGATATTTATATGCAACATACTATGTAATATATAAATGATTTTAACGTTAATATTTTTCTTTTCTTCACAAAAGCGAGTCTGAATTTCATCTACAAAATGTATACGTTAACGTCGTGTGCTTAACGGTAGTCAGTCAATATATAAAAAGCTCAAAATGAGCATCTACTGCGCATGCGCACAACAATGGGATTCCCGTACTTTTTATAGGCATGTTTTGTAAACAAACAGATAAAAGTCTGTGTTATTCTTTAAATAGACAAAATTTCCATATATTGTCGTATTCCAGCGATAGTATGAGATGGTGAGCTTGATTAGATTATAAAATCCGATAACTCGATTAAATTATAAAAAGCCAAGTTTATCAACCAGCCGAAGTTATCTCCCTAACCAGTATATCTTTTCTTTTTTTTCCAATCAAGTTTGTCAATTCAACTACAGACTAATAATGACTTTTTGTTTACTTTTTTGCAATTTTACTCTTATGTTGCTACAGTTACATAAATATACATGTAGCAGTGATCTTAGACTTTTTAAAAAAATAGATTTACTAGTAAATGGAGATTTATGCTAGATTTGCACTCATTTTAAAGGCTGTGATTTCAATGCAATGAAATGGAAAAGAAATTGATTTGTTTTGATACTCTCTGTTTCAGCTACAAATAGAATTACAGCTTCAGACATGTTGATAGATGACTTAGAGCAGTTGAAAGACTGGCTAACAGCTCAATTGTCACCAATGTAAGTGCATGTGTAGAAAGTACATGTAATGTTCAGATAATAATTTCTCTGATTTCGGCTGATATTCTTATTGTAATAATTGAGTAAAACTGTCGTTAAAATTCATTTGTGATTCAGGTATCATGTGGAATAAGTAGTCATTCACTTGCACAAAAATTGGTAATTTCTGGTTATCTTTGAGCGTGGGTAAGATGGACTGTTCGGGGAACAAATTTAAGAATGTTTCTTTGAGATTTACATAACTACAAAACAAACTGAAATGATATCTGTATAAACTAAAGGTGGTTACTAAGGGTGTAACGGTTTACCGGTATACCGATATATTGCAATATGAAAAAATAAATTTCGTACTGCGGAATGATTTTTGGAAAACCGGTATTTTATAAAAATCATAATTTTCAATTAATTGCCTTCTAATTTTGTACAAATTTCACATAAAATCTTTAATTGGCGAATTTTGTTGGCGCCAACGTAAGATAAAAGTATCCGACAACTAGTACACTTAAAAGTCAATAAGCGGCCGCATAATTTACATAAGCGGCCCAGATGTGAAAGGTCACACGCGACTAGTTTTGTTTATCAAATTGTGTGACTATTTATTCCTTACATTTTTATTAAGTTTCTACTAAAATATATACATATAATAATAGTATATGAATGTTACTCCATCTTTACATCAAAACATATACACGACAATACATATTGCAATATATTGCAATACGCTTCAGCAAAATGGCAATATATTGCAATACGGTTTTTGCTGTATTGTTACACCCCTAGTGGTTACTGATATGAAGTATGTGAGTTGTTTTTATATCTGTGGATAAATTTGGAAGGAGATTGTTTTAATAAGTTTTTTCATACTTGGATCAAATCTAGGTGACCATCTTACATGTAGATTTTTTGTTTTTAACAAAACATTGCTAAAATTCAAATTTCAAAGGCCTAGAGTATAAGTATTGTTCCTAAAACACGTACAAACATGCATTCACATGTTCTCAAACCTTTGTTATGTATGTTTGCAGTTGTGAGGCAGATCCGAGTGCACTAGCCAAGTATGTTGTGGCACTTGTGAAGAAAGATAAACCCATCTCAGAACTCAAGGACAGTTGTACTGACCAGCTAGATGTCTTTTTACAGACAAGTGAGTATTGCGGACTATCTTTTTTTCCTCTAAAGATTGAAAAAGTACCAGTTATTGACAGTGCTATAGTCCTATCTCTAAATGGAATAATCTAGGCTAATTTGTATCTCTAAATTCTGTAACTTTATTGTACTTGATAAACTTAATATATCTACTGTAATTTACTAAAATTGCAAGTTTATTTACATTGCTTGTCACTCTTCAGTTAACAAAAATTATTATGTGCTATCTTGCCTGATTGAGGCTAAGAAAAGTTACTGCTGGCTGTGATTTTCCTGCTTACTTAACAGACTCTGATAAAAGGCCTCTTCCCAATTGAAATTTTCTTTAAAATCATGCAGTTTTCCCAAAAATCTTAACTTAAACCTGATTTTTTACTTCCCAAATTAGCAATTTTAGTGATAATTTTCCCCAAAATCAAGAGACTAAGGCTTCTTCCCAATAAAGTAAAAAAGATCATTGGCTTGTATGTTTTTTGTTGTAGCTTATTTAATTCACACACTGCAAATATTATCAAAGCTTACAGAGTTAGATTAAAACTGTGTTTACTTTTGGGAATTCTAGAAACAAAAGATTTTGTGGACACATTATTTGAAGTGATAGATAACAAGTCATACATCAAAGAGAAGGAAGAGACAGCCGCCCCTCTCCCAGACAGTGCCGCCCCAGATGAAGCCCCGCCCACAGAGAATGATGCTACCCTTGCACCTAGTGACCAGCAACTGGTTACATCCACATCAAAAATAGATATTAAAAGAGAAGAGGTATATTCATTATAAAAACATACTGTGATATCACTTTGTAGGCCCAAATGAAAATATTAAAGTTGTCCATATACTAGTGACTTTTTCTGTTATCGGAAATGCTACAATTTGAGACCATGCCAACATACCTTCTATGCCATTTGCTTAAAATTTCAAATTTCATGGCAGCAAAATTAATTTATTTCACAGTATGTAATATCTTTACAACATTTATTTAGTAGTACATTTAATTCTTATTTTTGGTACCAATAAAGTATAAAAAGTACAATATTAATACCCTTTCATTAAGAGTCATTACTGGCGGCGGAGGAAGGTAGTCTAGTACTGGTGTAACTCTCCAGGAACGATGGTTAGGAAACAAACAAAACCAAATGAATTGAAATATTAAATATGTTTGTATTTAAACACATGGTTTAATATCTAGCATGTTTATTGAACAAAATATTTAAGTGTAAATTGTTGAAGTATCATTAAAAATTATTTTTTGGTTATTTGGTCAGGTATCCTACTTTGGATTTTGAATAATAGCTGTGTTTTGCTCAATATTTTGAAATTTGGGTAATCAGAAATTATGATAGAAGCATGCAAAAAGATCTTTACAACAGAGAATATCATAATATGCGTATATAGAGCTTACAGAGATTCACATGATTGTATGTTTTTACAGGATTTACAGAAAGCATTTCCAATAGGAGAAAACCGAGCTAGAAAATCTCGATCAAGAAGTTTATCTCCTAGAACTAGATCCAGAGAGTAAGTTTTTCAAATTATCTATATAATGTATCAACAAAACAAAACCCCTTTGTATGTGATAAAGCAGTGTGAGTTTTAATCTTGATCATGACTCTCAACTGTCTAGTGAAAGGGGGCTGTTCAGCTAGGTTATTGACAGTTTTTCTGCTTAGATGCCTGAATTAATTTCAACACCGTTAAAGCTTAGAAGTTACCATATGACCTGCACAATGTCAGTTTGCTTAAATCAACCACCCAAAAAGTTTTGATAAAATATCATATTGAGAAAATTGTCAATAAAGAGAAGGTTATGAAAGTTTTTAATGTAATGTTCAAATCATAGGCAGATGGAAACATACTGTATTTGAAATCACAATGTGGATAGAAATTGCATCACAAAGTGATTTTGTTTCTGTCAAAAGTGGTCATTTAGACTAGAATTTTCAAGTCATTAACTAGCATCCATCTGTTGAATTATATCACTCCAAAGATGTTAACTTTTATCATGTTTGAAGTATGTTAAACTTATTAAAGAAGGTCATTGATTCTTTTTAGAGTACCCCTATGTGTGAAATTTTATGCACAGAAAGGTACCAAAGGTTTGCCCGTGTAAGTAATGCAGGAAAGTTGACACATAACCTGATGGAGTAATTTGAATGTCTATGATATGCAACCAAATTTTACAATTCTTTACATAATTTCATAAAGCTCTTTGGTGATTAAATGTAATTACAAATTATTTAAAAAATAATAACAATGATATATATACAGAGATGATAGAAGAAGAAGAGTAGATGAAAGACGAAATTTTGACAGAGGTTATCCACGCAGACGATCAACAAGTCCTAGATTAAGAAGATACAGATCAAGGTCACCATATAGACGAAGGTCACCTTTTAGACCTATCAGAGGTCGTGGTCGAGGACGCTCCCGATCAAGATCATGGTCCAGAAGCTGGTCAAGGTCACCAAGAAGTAGATCAAGAGAAAGAATTAGGTCAAGGTCACCAGGAGGTAGGATAAGATCAAGGTCTCCTGGTGGACGCTTGAAATCAAGGTCACCTGGTGGAAGAATCAGATCAAGATCACCTGGCGGTCGTATCAGATCACGTTCCCCTGGCGGAAGAATAAGGTCACGCTCACCTGGAGGTCGTATTAGGTCAAGGTCGCCTGTAGGAAGATTACGTTCGAGGTCACCAGGTGGTGCACGTTCACCAAGACGTGAGGTCAGAGGCAAGGTCACCAGAGGGGAAGATCTCCATACAGGCGCTCAATTTCACCAAGATTTAGCATCAAGATCACCCCAGAAAAACAGTCAAGGTCTTCCTGTTTTTTTTTTTATAGTTCAAGAAGTCCAAGATCAAGGTCACCATTGTCACCTAACAGATCAAGGTCTAGATCACCTGTAAGAAAAGGTAATTGTTGTGAAGAATACTTTGAAAAGTGATATATTTTTTAATAGAGACCTATTAAGATCAGTTTCAAAATAAACTTTATCAATGTTTCTTGGAAATAGAATAAAATTTGAAATGAAAATAGACTAGTTAAAATAATTAAAAATATAGAAAAATTGAAATCTTGCAATGATTGGGTCTAATATTCTAATCTTCATATAGCCTTGAGTCTATAGGTTTTGTGGTATTCGAAAAGTTTCCTTTAACATTTTGCTTTCAAATCACTCTGGTATAGGGGAAATTAAATTCATTTTGAAAGTTTTTTTAGTAGAAAATTATTTGTCAGTGAATTGAGAAAGCAATACTTTGTTTCTTCAGGAGTATGTTCTTGTGATGGCTTTAAAATTTATTAAATAATGAAAATGTAATATTGATCAATTGCTTAGCTTTATTACAATATTAATAATGCAAAAATTATTGATTTTTGCAGTGCGTAGAAACAGCTTAGATAGTCGAGGTCAACACCAACGCAAGAGAATGGACTGGCTTGATAGTTCTAATCCAACTCCGGCTGACTCGCACAGCTCTATCTCTGTTTGTGACACACACGTCTGGGAGATACGGAAGAGGTGCAGTCAGCATCTGCTGGAATAAGATGTAGGGACTATGATGAGTGCGTTAATGAAATTATTTTTTCTTTGATTCCTTGTGTTTTGTTGTTGTTATTGTTGTCTTATAATCTCTTAAATTTGGGAAAATCATGTTGTTTTGGGTTTTTTTTGGCAAAGTGGTTTTGGAAAAAACTATTGCAGTACGTTTTTTAAATTGCGTTTTAAAGCTGCCATTATGCATTTTTGTAAGAAGTAGGATGTGGCCTTATAGTAGGTTGTTGGTTGGTTGAGGTTGTCATTCATTAAGAGGTGATTGCCCTCAATTCTTAAGTTTGGAAAAATTTGCTTTTTCAATGTTTTTTGTTTGCAGGGATAAACAATCTGTAAGTTAAATGTGTGAAAAAAGTGCTTGATCTAAGGTAATTTTCACACATGTAAGGGGGAAACATTTGCTAATTATGGAGGCCTTACATAGGAGGACTTTATACAATTTTCAACATATGATACATTATTATTGAGCTTTCTTTTGATACAGTGTTACTAAAAAATCTTTTATAACACAATTACAAGATGTGACATCTGTTTGCCCTTAATGTTACATTTGATCATGT